TAAGAACATTGAAAGACTATTGAAGTAGTGATAGAAAGAAAAAAGGCATCTTTTTATCTTCTTTTCCTCGTTATTGCACACACAATAAAATGCATTTTACACGATGGCTCCAACAGGAGCAAGTCTTAAATATTAATATAATTTCCAGTTCCTGACAAGATAATGATTGGACACATACCGCAAGCTTGCTTTCTTTAACCTGTCTAAACACATAGCATTTGTTATCTTTTGATCTTGAAAATTGAAAATGACCGTTGGACAATCGAGAGGTAGTTTTTCAAATGCTTGTTGTAGTAAAATTGTTTTCCGTAAATTTGTTGATTCGAACCTACTCATAGCTGGCGAACGGCAGACATTTCTTTAAAATGTGTTCTCCAACTATACGATACTTCAGGTACTGCCTTCTAATAAATTGCTTTCCCATCAAAGTCAAAGGCAGTTTTTGTGGTCATTCGAGCGTGGTTTTACCTAATCTTTAAGCGATCTATGTGGTTATCAATCGCAGCCGTTTTTTTCCTCTAGGAAATCTCATTTATTAAGAACATTTTTCACTTTTTCGCAGTATGTTTTGAAAGTTGCCGTCGTCCTAAAGCTAAAAAACCTTTTCGGATAATAATTTCATTTCCTGATATCGTGAAATCCCCCAGGGGGGATTCCCATATAACAAAAACGGGACCGGGGTGTACCTCGTCTCGATTAAGGGTGTGTGCTGCAGATTTTGGACTCACTTAGGATGTTTAGGACAGAAAGTCCCCAGTAATTTTCCCCACACAGGTATCAAGTAAATGAAAAACCAATCAAGCCGTCGTACTCTGTTTAAAACAGCATTTGATTCCAATGTCTTTTGTGCAACGAAAACCACCCAGCGTTTATCTGTTGTCTGTTTGAACCACGCCCTGAATGGACCCCTTTAGAGGCTAAATGCTAATTAATTTCCCGACGACTACACCTGTCGTATTCATGTGGGATTCTTATCCCCCTCCCCTGGGGGAAGATGCGCTGCTGGCATGGCGGGAAATCAAAACGCGTTAAAAAATAAATTAGAAAAAACGCCAAATAAGGTATAATTAAAAAGGACTGAAGCTGTTAAGTAGCCAGGAAACTAAAATCGCTGCCGGAAAATTCATAGATTTTCTGTGTTTGAGGCGAAAGGCTGGAGACAATAGCTGTCAGGTACGAGATAAATTTACCCTCAGTCAGTCGATATTCAATTATGTATTTGCTTCACTTTTCCAGTCGTACAATTTCAATTTTTAATTCTCATCAGCTTTTTCACCGACGAAGATTTTTATCTTTCTGACATCAAATACATCTTTTGATGAAATCACTGAAGGTCTTCTTTATTTGTTTTGAAAATCATTTCGAGGCAGCATTTTCTTTTTTCACCAATATTATTTCTAATATACCGAAATGCACTGTTTAAGACGTTTGGGAACGACGTAAATCTATATCCGTAAAATAAGATTTTTATTTACTGTCATGACGACTTAGAATCAGATACGTCGTTTTAATTTTCCCCAAAAATTTTTTCGCAAAGTGGAAAACTGAAATCATTTTCAGATTTATCACTTCTTTCTTAGATTTCATCTCCAAAAGATCAGCCTTACGTTGCGGTATAAAGATCGGTTTTGTTCGAAATTTGCTTTTGTAGGGAGTCTGTCTTAAGGTAATATGGCAGCTCTATACGAAGCTGGCTTCGTTAGGCTTTCTTTTCTTTTTTTTTTTTTGGAATGCTCCGAACAAAGTCACGAACTGATTTTTAAGTCTGCGACGAAGGTTTTTCACTCGTCGTCTGTGTTTTAAGTAAATATTTTACCAGAAGGCTAAACGAAAATTAAAGTTATTTATGAGTACTTTTTCAGTGCTTAAAATGAAATCGTAATCAGCCAACAAGCTTGTTTAAACTCAGATATCGACCACATGTTTGAATTTGGCTTTTTCCGCATAGGCACGCAATAACAAAATCTCTTGACTAGTAATACAGTTAAATCCAAAGGTTGAAATTTTTCCATAAAACGGATCGCTAACAATGTAACATGACCATGGTTCATGTTCTTTTTGCATCTTATAAGAGGCTGTTTTAGGGTGACAGACAGCTGGAATTAAATTGAACAAATAGTAGGCGACGAAAAAATTAAAAATAAAATAGACCGGAACTGGAAAAATGTTTTCTTAGTACACAGTCGAGTTGGAATAAAGAGAAATTTGTCTTAAATTGAAATAAGATCCTTCCGCGGGGAGGAAAACAGAAAATGTTAACTTATGTTCATTGTAAACTAAAGCAAAAACATTGCACTCAAGAATTAAAAATGGAGCAAAACACCCCAGTAATTGCTCCATTGAACAGGAAAATTGTTGTAAATTGTTTCTCTTTGAGAAAGCCGCTGATATTGTATATGCAAAAAAAATATTTTAAAACATCTGAGTATGTCAACTTGTTTTTGTTAGGGACCTTCGCTGATGCTTAAGTTCGCTTTACTTTAAAAAAGTGAACGGCACACCAATCAATTTTAAATACACTACTCCGAAGGGTAACATATACGAGTAACTGCTGTTTTTTTCCTAATTAAGCACTGGGTGTCGCTTAGATGATTATCTTTTGTTCAATATGAGTCTTTCTTTTCTTGTCTCAAAATAAAAATTTGCCTTCTCTGGTGCTTTCTACAGTCGAATGTTCCATGTAAAAAAAAGCATCTCTCTTTCTTTATATATGAGTAAAACTTTATTTTAACGAAATATAAACTTCATATCTTATCAGCCAAAAAAACAATATAGTTAAGTTTTGCGCTGTTTTCTTTCGTTTAAACTTTCTTAAAATCTAGCACAAAAGGATTAAAACAAGAATCTGTTTAAGAGTGAACGCAAAGCACTTTGCTTAAAACTAACAAGTACCTTTAAAAAGGTTGAATCTAGAAAAAAAAGCGATTTTTCAAAGACTTACTAAAAACATCGAAAAAAAATGAAATCCTATCCAATCTTTCACCTGCCAGGAAGAACAATGACTTATTATGATTTCCTGCAGAAATCATCCTAATAATTTATATGACCATAGTGCGAATGCAGTAGTTTAATATACTTATCCGAAGGGGGCTTTCAAAACTCCCCAGATCGCGACCGGCTTGATATCGTTAACATCTTTAGTATACACCAAAACTGCTTAAAGTGTATTTGTGTTTTAAATTTGAATCTGAAGCGAGGTTTTGCTCTTCAAAGTAAAGGTAACATGTCTACCGGGTAAAACATTTAATTTGTTTATGCGGGGAAGTTGCTGACACCGTCAGTGTGAATACCCCACATCGCTTGACTAAAGAGGCGACAAAGTGATAGCTTAGTAATATTCTATTCCTTTATGTGATTTATTATAGAAAATCTTTGGGCTTTTTTTCTCGTGATTTAAAGAAAAGGCATAGATGATAGTGTTGGGTAGCTGTTAAGGTTGTTTCTCATTAGCACCATTGAAAAGTAGAAAGGGCTGATGACCGTCGCGGAATAAATCTAAATTTAAATTTATCCCTTTTTCAGCGAATGTTTTTTTTTTCTATAAAGGTGGTTAAACGAGGGTAAGCCTTTTCACTTTTGTAAAATACAGTATTTAAGTTTTTTGTTATGCTCAATTCGATTTAAAGAGAAATTAAAGAGACTATAGTTTTGCAGTCCTTTTTCGGAAATGATTGATTTGCAGTTCTAGAAGAACATATCGCAGCAAATTACCTAATCCGATCTGATATTTCAGGCCATATGACTTTATATATTAAAACCTATTAATTGCACTCTTTATCTCGATCGCAGATTGAACGCTTTCGTGGAGTGAACAAAGTTCAACAAAAATCATGTCCACCAACTGTACACATCCTACGAACTTGTCTACTAGTCTAGCCGGCAAGCGATCATCAACTACGTATACTGCTCAATACGCCAGAGGTTTAATTTCCCTTTACATTTTAATCATCGTTATATCTCTGAGTGCATATTGCGTGATAATACTGACCGTCTATCTAAATCGTCGCCTAAGAACGATCTGCAACTTCTTCATCATTAGCCTAGGAGTCGCCGACGCCTTAATTGTTACCATGGTAATGCCAGTCAACATCAGCCAGCTTATGGGTACCTTTCGTTTCCAATCCGTCGCCCATTGCCGATTTGTAGTAACAGTCAGCCTCCTCAGCCTTTCCGCGGTTGCTTTAAACCTCTGTACTGTGAGTATGGAGAGGTTTTTCGCCATCGCTTACCCGTTTAAATACGAGGCGTTCACCACGACGAAGACAACGGCGGGAGTAATTGGCGGCGTGTGGCTGTATTCACTTCTCGCCGCACTTTTGCCAATAATGGGCTGGCGTTCACAGCCGATAGAAATCAAAGGCAATGGGTGCGTAAGTGAAAACCAGGAAAGCTACACTCTTTTCATGACAATTGGTAGTTTTTTCATTCCCGCTATCATCATGGTTTCTTCAAACTTGATAGTCTATCGTATCGCTACAAATCATGCAAAGAGGGTTATTCGGGTCGTTCCAGTGGTGGGACCTCGCGTGGATTTACTTCGTAAAAACTTCCGCGCCGCGAAGCGTATTTCACTCATCGTCGGGGCCTTCCTCGTTTGCTGGGTACCTCATATGGTGGTGTTAGTAGTAGGCATGTATATTGGACACAGAAATGTGCCACTTACGGTGTACCCTGTAACCCTGTCTCTGCGGTACAGCTGCTCAGCGGTGAACCCGTGCCTGTTTTGTTTTACCAACCGAGAGTTGAGAAAAACGCTTAAGAAACGCGTTAAAAAGTCAATGGGAAAGAGACCAGAGACATCGCACTCCGGAACAAGTGACCCGGGAATGGCGATGCTGAGAAGGCGTTCCACTTTTGGAGGTATGAGCCAAACCACGGAGATCTCCAATCAGCAGTAGAGATGAGAGGGAAGGAGAGAGATGAAGGCAAGAGCAGTTGGTTTTATGAGGAAGGGCAAAAGCATGGGCGAGAGTAAATGGCAATTTGTAAACAAAATCCTTCTAATCATTATCATCATCATCATCCTCATAAGCATCATCACTAGCGTCATTACCGTCATCATCATTGTCATCATCGTCATCATTATCAGCATCAGCATCATCATCGTCATCGTTATCGTCATCATCATCATCATCATCATCATTGTCATCATTATCAGCATCAACATCGTCATCCTCGTCATCGTCACGTCGTCTTCGTCATCTATTTTGACATCTGGGTCGGACTCCAGCAACAAAACTCATCATCATCATCATCATCATCTTTACTATCGTCATCGTGATCGACATCCCCTCATCATCATCATCCTCATAAGCACCATCCTCAGCGTCATTATCATTATCACCACCATCAACATCATCATCGTCATCAGCATCATCATCATCACCATCATCATGACCAATTTTGACCTCTGAGTTGGAACACACCAACAAAACTCTTCCAGTTTTTAAAAAGACATACACAAGACTTTAAATAGCTCTTTTCTCCTAAACGATCACTACCTCCCCTATACCAGCGCAAGCCCATGAATCTTCCTGAATGCATGGTGTTTATTTGACCGACCACTTGCGCTAATGCGGTGTTGACAACGAAAATTGCACACGGCGAGGTAAATGGATCTTTACATCTTAAACCTGAATAGCCTGTCCACAGACATTTTTCTTTTCGTTTATTTTTTTTTGTTCTTTTTTCAACAGTTCGGCAGCACTCGCGAAGCGCGAGTTCGAGCGCGAAACGCGAGAAAAAATAAAGAAACGAACGTCTGTAGACATCCTTGCGAAAACAAGAGGTTTATTAAGTCCCTCCCCTATGTCAACGCCTTGTCGTTTAACAGCACCTCGGCATTCGCAATACTGCCAATTAAATTATTTCCATTCGCGCGAGACGATCTCTGAAGAAAAAAATAGAGGGTCTGTGAACAGGCTAACCTAGGAATTACTGAACTCCTCCCTCGGCTCCAAATAACCTAAAAGGAACCAGAATCTCGTCCTGCAAGCGTTGCTCAAATCATGGCTTCCCCACAGCCCGGGAAGTAGTGGAGTAACAAATTGTTCCAATCATTTCAGGTCTCAAATACCTTAAACCCCCCCAAAAAAGGGCCGTGACAGGTCTTGTGGTTTTTATCTCGTCACGCAATTCATTTTCTTATAATAAAAGCAACAGCATTTAAAAACCAATAAATACTTAAAGTCATAATAAAGTGATCCGCATATATACACCGTATTTATTCGATTAACCGCCCTAGGCGCTTACTCGAGGTGGGCGCTTAATAAATTGTTACCATTTTCAGCAAGTGTAGTACGTTTACTTTGCAACAAAACAATAAATAGAAATAACAAAACGCAAATATTTAACAAAGCAAGGTTTCTCTAAAATACTCTGAAGAAAACTGCGTCTTCGGGGAATTCTCTTATTGGTACTTATTCAATTTCAATTTCAATGTCAAGTGAAGAGGTCATTTTACAGTTACTTATGGAATCTACTTTGTTATGTAAATGGAGTTATTCCTATGCTAACTAGTATTTTTTAAGGACACTTTCCGTAAAAAAGGAAAGGGGGTTTGCATCAAAACCAGGTCACCGTCAGCCTCACATTCACTCGAAGGCTAGGGTACTCAGTCCACAACTGTAAAATGGTCTATTCTCTGGTGCTGCCTCCTCGATGTCCGACATCGTAACGTCGAGCGAGAGATATTGCAGCTGAAAGAACTTTGCTCCCATATGGAAATTGGAGTTGAAACTTGTGGAATCTAGAAATTGTAAACCAGTGAATAAATAATAACCCATACTACTCTCGTGCACTCAATTATTTTTTGGGTGGGACGGGCAAGGGGGGTGGGGTGGGGTGGTTGCTGATTTGAGTTTGAGTGGGAGGGGGTGGGCGCTTATTCGAGGCTGGGGCTAAATAACTATTACTGCCTTTAGGATGGGCGCTTATTCGAGGTAGGCGCTAATTCGAGGTTGTGCGCTTATTCGAATAAATACGGTACTTAACTTAAGGAAAAGACTATCCCTATCCTATCGAGCTCCAAGGATTTTATTTACAGACAAAAAACTATTATGTATCAAGTTCGATCACCACAACCTTTTGCAAAGGAAATTTTAGCCCTTTTCTTGACCCTCCACAAACAAATTCCCTCCATAGGTTAACACCACAACTCTTAGTAAATTTTTAGTAACGTAATACAAGCAACAGCCACAAGTTCTAAGGGACCGTTCATTTTTTATGGGGAAGAGGGGGCTGGTGGTATTTCATGGGTGGCTCTCTATGATGACTCTCTCTTCATCAGGAATTTTGTCGGGTGCTCCCACCCCCTTTGTAGCCTATAATATTTGAGATGAGCCCTTCCCCCCTCCAAAAAAAGACAGAGAGGGAGAGAAAGAGCAGATTGTCGATTTGGAAAGTTTTTTGCATTTCGTTGAGTACATAAAATGTAAAATTGATTTTTGGTACGCAATTAAGTAGGAGGAACCCAGGGGAAATCTGAATTTGTTTGTGAACGTCAGAAACGCTGGTTTTTGGCATTTTGGTAGACTTTTTGCAAGATTACAGATACCGTCAAAAAGCCTTTTTTGGGCATGATCCCCCTTAAATCCCAACAGCGCCCCTTACCTGATAAGCAATGAATGGTCCCTAAATGGCTCCACATGTGTTAGATCATCTTAGATCTTGCTCTCTTGAACTTATTTCCATTTTCCTCTGTCCTTTGAATTAGACTAACAATCACTGAACGCATGGCACTCAAAATAGAGCCTCACTCAGTGTAATTTGAAACTAGTCCCAAACGGCTGCCATCTGGGAGTTTGTCGTTCAAAGCTTCTAGAACAATTTGTAAAGGTGCTGCCATAGTATAGCGATGATATTGATTCTCTAGTATACCAAAAACAAGGCCAAGTCCAAAGTGGTGGTTTTCTTCTGTCTTTTCGAAGATCACCGATCCAGAATCTTCAACGTTAGCGAATGGCGTTGCTCCTTGTTGTCGGATGCTTAAGCATCTTTAGAAAATGTAGAGTAAAAAGAAAATTTGTAGTTTGTATTCGCTAAGTATTGTGCTGTTATAATCCGGCAGCGAGGTACACAAACTCGAATCACAGGTCACAGGTCACAAGTGCAGGTGAGAGTACAGGTCACTGTGCTAAGGTAAATAAACAACACTAGAAGTGTCTCCTAACCCTAATCAGCTTCCTAAATATAGTTTTAGCTTAAGAGGAAACTGCTTATCTCAGTTATTTCTTAATAGAGCAGTGGCCTTCATTTGCGACGTGTGATCTGTGTGTTGTACTTGCCTTGTTGTAATCTGTTACTCGCTAGCTAGTCTAGTTTTAAAATAACATCACTGTAAAACCGTAACAACTTCTCCTATGGTCTCAAATCGAGTCCGATTTCTCAAGCCGCAATTAATTTTTACAGCCAATATTTTCTTTCGTTGCGTAATCAGTACGTAATCGCAGCTTATGCATAATTCACACAGTCATCTGTCATTACTCCGACAGCGTTCACACGTCTTTCACGCAGTAATTTTGCGAAACTCCGGCAGCCCTTGCAGTGCAGTTTTCATGCAGCCTTATGCAACGATTATAAGTCGCTGATGCAGCGCTGCACGAGGGACGCACGTTTCGTACGGGTGTTATCTATTGTACGAATCTCATAGTTAATGCGCAGTTGATCATCACTCAATGAAAACTATACAATATAAATTTTTAACGAAAGAACAAGTGAACATGATCTTCGCAGTGGAATGAACAATCTGAGCGGTCTCCGTCTCCGTCTCTGATTGGCTAAATCCCACGCATAATTGATCATAACCAGCTACTGTTAACCACATTTGGAAGAATTTTGCGATATGTAAAAAATGACGTCAATTGTGCGCCATAATTGCCAGATAACTGAATAACAAGAACGCTCTAACAGCGGCGGTCACTCTCGCTTGCTTGGACATTAGATCGAGAAATGAGGGGGCGATTAATTCTACACGAAACAGGATTTACTCACTAAAGGTGTTTCACTCCCTTCTTCTGGATATTTACTTTTTATTTGTTTCTGAATTGATTTATTACTTGTGTTAGCGACGACCGGGAATACGTCTGCAGTCGCATGCTATAAGCGTGTATAAACACACGAAAATTCAAGGGCCTCGATTCCGGAGAAATTGCATCATTGCCTGACATCAAAAAAGTGATTTACATGGCACGTCATTTCAATCATCGCCCAAATTAAACCGCATGCTCATCACACTCATTTGTATGCAATGAAAGTTTACAACACCCGACCAGTTAGTCTTTTGCTAATAAAGATTCTTTTTTTTTTTCCGACCACCCAAGTGTTCACTTGTTCCAAAGTAATCAACGCTTTCAAGCGATAGAATTCGTAGACAAACCCGTTCCGAAAAAGATCTAAGCCTAAGCTTTCTTCGCAAAACATGCGTGGCTTCGGTCACGCAACGATTCTTATTCCCAGTTTCCACGTTCTCCGCTAGAGGAACGCCTGGGACCACAACCGTCGTTTTGTGTACTAAATACCAAGAAAAAAAACGGCTTGCAGATTATGAGTGTCGCTGTTTGCGCAAGCGAGACTAATTAATCGAGAAGACCTGAAGAAAGGGTTGAGTTGTTTTAGCTTTACTCGTTTCACAAGCAAGAAATAGGCGAACTATTCGCTACATAATAGCATAACAAGAACAGCAAGAAGACAACTTAACGGACGACATCCGCTATTTGGAGAATATTTGCAGAACTGAACAACCCTTTATCTCCTAACTTGTCGATAAACAGGCAATTGAAGATGAACTCAACATCAATGGAGGTAAACTAAAAATTTTTTCGACTGAATAATAAAACAATATTATTAATATTATTATTACTATCATCATCATCGTCATTATCGGTATTACCTTTTAAACCAAAGCTTCTCACACAACCTGGCTTCGATCTGATCGCACTCTTTACAGGGACGCGGTTCTTCAACAACAAGATCGTCTTGACTTCCTCCACAATTTTTGCAAGAGTATTTTCTCAATAAACAAGCGAGGAATGGAGTTTGTAGCTCACACAATGGAGGTTTCAGATAAAACGGCGCCTCGATAGATCCAAAGAGTTCGCTGTTTATCTCGGTATATCCCGTTGTTCGCCCACTCTTACAAAGTTTATGGGCGCTTAATAAGGCTTGATGGTTTGCGGAACTGCATTCACTGCCCGGCTTGATGTGTGTTCCAAACATTCTAGCCCACTGACTTGCTTTTAAACTTTCTAGTTCCTCTTTAAACAGCACTGCAATGGCAGCATCGACATAATATTCCTTGCCATCAGTCCATTTTACATTGCCACTCACACCATCTATGTACTCTCCAATCACCCTTGGCTCCACACTTCCTTCAAAAATTCTCTCAGTCTTTTCAATTATCTTCCTGTTGTACCTGTTGGCGTAACCTCCGCGGTGATTTTCTTTTATGGACTTTAGCTCTTCAAATTTACTTAACAGTTCCTCATTCGATGTAAGGGTTTCAACAGACCACTGGGTTTCCACGCCAGTTATATCATTTACCGCACATTTATACTGTCCTAAGTAATATTTCAGACAGTTTAGATGGTCAAGGAGTCCAGGATGAACAATACGCCTTGACTCCTCCGAGTTCATTACATGATCACAGGAGAGTGCATAAAAGGTGCTACCGTTTTTCACAATGGCACCTAGTGTACCCTGTATTTCCTTTCCCTGTACACCAATGCTCGCTCCGAAACAAAGTACATCGCTTTGCTCTTGCGCCGCATCTGGGCATCTAACATATCGCCCTGCTCTCATCCAGAATCCATTCATAACATCCACGGGATAACCCTCAAAGGCAGTTGGAAACATAGACTCGCCAAATGGAATAAAGCCTTTTCCGAGAACATAAATCGTAATACAGGGCTCATCCGTTTGTTTAGAATTTGTGATTTTGAAAGACGCCTGCACAGAGGTAACATTGCGATGCTTAAGGATTACAGGAAGGTTCCTTTCAATCACGTTATTCATTTCCTCAACCTGAGACGCAGTCAGTGCTTTGGGTTTGCTTAATGAATACTCGAGGTGTTGAACCTTCAGGACGTTGACACTGTTGTTATAAAGATCTGACCATTCCAGCTCCACATTCATGCTATTAAAGTACTTCTGGGCTTCTTCTATTAAATCTTTTGGTATTTTATACTCCTCATTATAGACATAAAAATGAACCAGCATCTGACCATCCTTTGTATATGGCAACACACGAACGCATTCCTTGTACTCAGCTTCAAACATAACGGTCGCAGCGTGAATGCTCTTCATTTCAAGTTCCTTTGCCATAGGACTTTCACTTGGAACTACGGAAAAATAAAAACAAAAATGTCTCTCATAAGAGTCCATAACCTGTGCCAGGCTCTCAGTCTGTGTAGACGAGCGAAAGAGGCGGGCGGGAGAAAAAGGCGGGAAAAGAGAAGGGGGTACCTCATTCAGCCCACTATACCCCCCTCGCTTCCAGAAAAACCGTTTCTCGAGTGAAAATATTAAAATATGGTATACCAGGGGCTGGACTACCGGAATGAGGTAAAAAAAATGCTTACAAGCCCAACTTCCCCGTCTTTTCCCATCCCCACGTTGTTTTCGTGTACCATTCTCGATCTCCTTTTCCTACTATCTTGAAGCATGGAACTGGCTAAAGCAAGTAAGCAAGTAACATTAGTCTCCAGCCGGGAAAGCATTGCCTGAATTAAACTGGATAGGGTGGAATATATTTGTAAAACATGGACCGGTGTGGATTTGTAAACTAGGACTGGACTGGAATTCTAAAACGTGGATTTCCAAAATAAGGACTGGACTGGATTTGTGAAAAATGAGTTTGTAGTAAAAGGTTAGATGTAAAAAAAAACTTGAATTCTTAACCTGTGAATTTTTAAAATGCTGATTTAAAACATGGTTTTTAAAAAGGTGGATTGGTAAATGATAATGAAAGCTCACTTAAAAAATAAATATTCTTTCCAGTTTTTACTCCTAGATCGTCGCAAACGAAATTTACTATAGAGAGGAAAAAATATCGATTTGCGCTACAGGCTGACTTCACTAGAAAATAGTGTTAATAAATCTTTTTTGATAATATCATATGCCAGAAATGACGGTAACAATAATGGTTTATTATTTGTCACAAAAGGAATTAAGATTTCTCAAGTATCACAGCACAGTTTTTATTTCAAGCTGACCAGAAGTGGAAAGAATTTGTTGACCTTTTACTGGATAATTCGTCATAATTTAATATAGGGTTCAAAGACAGTTCCATTGTCAATTAGAGGAAACTCTCATGCATTTAATTGTTTTTGTTGAACTCGTATTACACCTAACTGCAATAAAATTGTCATAGAAAAATGAAAAAAAGAAAAAGCCAAATAGGAATTAATTAGGCTAACTGAGCCACATTCTCAGGGTAGATTCATTTGCAGCTGCTGCATTTCCCCGCTGGAATTTTTTTTTTCTCAGCTTTAAAACAATAGCAAATTCCAACAGGCAAATACGATGTCCATGTGCGGATGCTGCAAATGAATTCACTAGGATTATTAGCCTAATTAATTCCTATTGGCTTTTTCCTTTTTTCATTTTTCTAAGACAACACTATTGCAATTAGGAATAAACAGAATTTTTTTTTATCAAGGACCTAAATTATACAACCCCTTAAACACAGATGTCGTCAACTCACCAAAATGCTTGTGAGTAACTTGAATACTTTCTGTGAAACTGTTTGTCAGCAATACTGTTAGAGACAAATGCCATTAATAAAGAGTCCGTCATTTGTACATTTTTTTCAATATAATATATTGCACCATTAAAATCCAGTTATGGGCCTATCTGCACTAGCAAAAAAGCTGTTTATTTAGACAAATTTTTTGTCATCATCAACGTTAAGAAAAAGTGGATGGTTTGTCACGTTTTTACAAATTTTGTTTGAGACAGGACAATCTTCGAAGCTGCTGAGGGAAAAATTTCCCCAAGTAAAAACTGGACAAAATATGAAAATGTGTTTTTCTTGTCAATCAATTGTAGCTATTATTCTTTCCATCGACAAAGGGAAGTATTGTCAGATGTAATGGCCTGTCAATAGTCAATAGTTTCCAGTGCAGATAAATCCTTCCAAAAAAAAATTTCAAAAGTAGGTTGTGTTTGATCATCCGGGTGAACGTAGTCCTGAATGGACTGTTGTTGTTGACAGTGACTGACGTTTCAACAACCTGTGCGGTAGTCATGTTCAGAGTCAAAGTGAGTTGTATCACATCAGTTGATGGTATTATACTCTGGTTATTGATCTGATTGGTCAAATACATCACGATGTTATTGGTCATCTGTCAGTTAAGCCATGATGTTATTGGCTATGAAGACTTGTAATCAGTAATCGATGCGTATCGATCCGTCTTTTGTCACAGTTAAACAGTCGTCTATTGTTAGTCAAATTGTCAGTTCTCCAGTCATTCTCTCGTAGTTAGTTTTGCTTGATCTTGTCAATAAGTCATTTGTACGGCGCTGGTAACTGTCAGTCACTGTCAACAAAAACAGTCCTATTCAGGACTACGTTCACCTGGACGATCAAACACAACCTACTTTTGAAATGACTCCTGGGTTCAAACCTTTCACAGTTTTTAAAAAAAAAAAAAAATTATCACCATACAATTTTTGCTTTATATGTTTTTATGACAATTCCTAATTTGTCCGCTAATGCAGATAGGCCCTATGACCTCAAAGATATCTGGTCCATGAGAAGTATATAAGCTTTAAAAAAACAATAAGTAAACAAATTTAAATCAATCTTGCTATAAAAAAAAATTATATCATCAAATGGACAGTTGACCTGCATCATTCCAAAGCGGCTCTCTGATTGGCTATCTTTGGGTGGATGGGGCTGTTTCCATACCAGACTGTACTGAATCAATCACAACACAGCAGCCCAATTCATTCATGTCGCTCCTGAAAATTGATGCATGCTGTCATATTGGAAAGACGGTAATTTTCTTAATTTTTTTTTTTGCACAATGATGTATTGTTCACTCTTTCAAGCTGTTTATTTATCACAATTCGCTCAAAATTATTCTGTAGTAGACACACTTCTCGAGCACGTCACTCAAGAGAATTGAAGCACATTGTCACATTCGATGTCACGCAGGAATATAATGAATGAAGGTAAGTCCTCTCGATTTTTCTGAATTTTCTTTCTGCACAAATCTGCTGACAATGAAGAAGCACTCATACACAAAGCATAAACTGAGGAAGGGGAAGCAAAAAGTTGTTTGGCTGTACAAAACTATGACGAAAGTCACATCCTGATTAGAAATATTAACTAATGCGTACATGACAATTTTCTACAACAAATCTCATTGTTCTCACGAGCTGGCCAATCAGAGAGCCACTTTGGATAGGTGTAGGTCGACCCCAAATGGAGGGTGTGTGAGATGAGGGACTCTCATCTGAATAATATCATTCGACAGGGGCGGATCTAGAGGGAGGGTGCAGGGGGTGCGCACCCCCCCTGAGATGACCTGTGGTTTTCTAATACAGCTGGTATTCTGCAAAAAAAAAAAAAACTATGTGGTTTATTGGTGTTGAAGTAGAGCAAGAGACGAGTGCACCCCCTCCTAAAAAAATTCCTGGATCCGCCCCTGTTGGAACTTTCTCAACCATTTAGGTGATCTGTGGGCACAATTCTCGAAATAATACGTATTTCAAATCGAAACAAAGCAGCCTCATTGAATACAAACTAAGGTTATAAATTCACAGTATCCATTTCGCTATGTTTTTTCACTCCTGTTTACATTTATCGACCTTCTAATCCTTGAACATACATGGAAAAAAAAACTCAGTTATTTCAGATAAGTAATGACAATCTGCAATTTTTTTGGAGAAGAGATGCTGTTGTTTCCAGTTTTTACTGGGTTTTGAGTAATAAATTATATAAATCAGATTAACTAAGCTTGCATTAAATTTTTTGTTGCGGTTTTCATTTGATCTGTTTGCATCTGGTGTTTTGATCGAATATTATTTAAGTCTAACAGACCTCGTTCCGTAGCGAAAAAAATACCTAGTACTTTTGAATGACCTATGTTTGAAAAAGAAGTCGCTTCAAAATGAACTTTAATCAAAGACACTCACCTTTGCCGACCTTTAATTGACGAATTGTGATTCCAACCGTGAAGAAATGGTGGCTTCGTCATGTAAGCCTCACGTATGGAGTGAGGCTTAGCCACCTGGCCGTAACACTGCCCACTACACTTTGCGCGCCTAGTTTGGATCAAATGCCCAAATGTACCAACATGCCGTAAACTTCCGCTTATTAGCCCTGGGTTTAAGGAGAGCTTCAGAGACCTTATAAACAGAAGGCCTTTATCCGGGGAGGGGGGGGGGGGGGGG